ACTATGCAAGTATTACCTGTAAGTCCTTAAGGGCCCCAATTTATGGCCCATGCATGTGCACACACATGCGCACATATGTGTGTGTGTGTATATATGTATATATACATATATATAAAAACACATACCCATTGGCATGCATATACTGGGACTTATTTTAGTATTTTTTATTTGTTCTTTTTAGATATACATGACAGTAGAGTTTGATTTTGCTATTTTGTGTAATTTATATGTATACATATGCATGTGTGTAGTATACATATATATATTACTAGGCATTGAACCCAGGGCCTTGCACATGCTAGGCAAGTGCTTCTACCGGTGAGCTACATCCTCAGCCCTCATAGTAAGTGTATTTTAAACTGTACAGTGTCACAACCTGCTCTGGGCATTATGCAAATTATTACACCCTGCTAGGATGACATTGTTTACCTATTAATACATTTATGAGTATTCTCAAATAGATACTGAATCTTTTGAGACTCACAACCACTCAGAGACTGGTATCAAGATCATGTGTGTTCTGTACAAGAAACAGGTTGAGCCAGGTTAAGTTGCTTGCCCCAAATCCCTTAGCCAGAACAGAACCAATGCCTAAATCCGGCTTCAACGCCCCTATTTCATGGTGTTTGCTTATAATCCTGTCATGATTGGTTCCTGTCCCTTGCATCTTATTAAACAACCAATGAAGGTACAGGGAAGGGAGGACAAAAGTTTGTTAAAAACATTATATAAGCTATTGATGTGCTCAGAAATAGTAAACAACAATGTGATTCCTAAGTACTCTAATTTTGGTTTTAGAATTTAAGATGTTTCTAATCACCATTAAAATCTTTTTATTTTTTATACTGGGGATTGGATCCAGGGGCACTAAGCTACATTCTCATCCCTTTTTTTTGTATTTTATTTAGAGAAAAGGTCTCAGTAAGTTGCTTAGGGACTTGCTAAGTCACTGAGGCTGGTTTTGAACTCTTGATACTCCTTCTTCAGCCTCCCAAGTTGTACTGTACCTGGTACCACTAAAATCTTGAACAATATTTTCTTTTTTATTTTATTCACATCTTTACTTACTTATTTTTAATGTGGGGCTGAGGATCAAACCCAGGACCTCATGCATGTGAAGCAAGTGCTTTACCACTGCTTTACCCAGCCCTTGAACAGTGTTTTTTAAAATATTTTTTAGTTGTAGTTGGACACAATACCTTTATTTTATTTATGTTTATGTGGTGTTGAGGATAGAACCCAGGGCCTCATACACCCTAGGCTAGAGCTCTACTGCTGAGCCACAACTCCAAACCATGAACAGTGTTTTTTGTAGATGGTATGAAGATAAATTTTTATGTTTACATGGCCCAGTTAAAAATATAATAGGAAAAAACCCTGTTTAAAGATAAGTTAATTATATATCTAGTCCTATTTTGATAGAGCAGATAGTGTATGAACATTTTTTTTTTTTTAAAAAAGGGCAAAACCATGGCCATCTTTTAAAAACTATAATGAGTCAGGTGTGGTGGCTCCCACCTGTAATCCTAGCTACTCAGGAGGTTGAGTCAGGAGGATCACATGTTTGAGGCCATCCTGGGCAAATTAGCCAGACCCTGTATCAAAATTTAAAATACAAAGGAACTGGGGGTGTAGTTCAGTGGTACTGCACTCCTGGGTTCAATCTCCAGCACTGTAATAATAATAATAAAAAATTTGAATTAAAAGCTATACTGAGTAAAAAAGTGGAACAATGACAATTTTAGTGCAATTTTAATGCTACTGGCAGCAGGTCTGCTGCTTTGGGAGGTGTAGCCCCGGTCTAAGTGGTGCCACAGGTCTTCTGCCTTATGCAAATCTGCTGTCCCATACCTCAAAGATCTGATCTGACATAGCTTTAGAACAAGGGCAAGAAAAGAAAAATGAGCACAAAAGAGAAAAAGCGTCCAAGTAAAGAGGCTTACTTCATCTGAAATTCAAGCTAGGTAACAACACACTGTTCACTTAGGTTCAGTTATTATTTTTATTGATAAGCATACAACTAGCACACCTGTTTCAGTGGGGTCTCTGGCTAGTAATTTTGTCAAATGAAGTGCCTTAACAATATGTTCAAACTAATTTTAAACCTCAATAGCTTTAATCAAAATACCATCATTTGACCACGTGAAGAGGGAGAATATACAGTATATAAAAAAGTTTCAGGGCTTGGGATGTAGCTCAGTAGTAAAGCCTTTGCCTAGCAAGCATGAAGCCCCAAGTAAGACTCTCAGCACTGAGAAAAAAATGAAGCTTCGAATATTAGAAATTTTACAGAGTTAGGGCTCTGGTCTCCTTAAAGCATCACTGAGACATTGAAACAACAGTTCTGACTATGTATAGGAAAACATCATTAGACTAGTGCTTCTCCAAAGATGGCCCAGGATCTGATGGAAGTACCAGCATCAAAGCAGCCTGGTAAGAAGCAAATTCTCGAGGCTCAACCCTTAGCTACATAATGAGAATCAATGAGGATGGGGTCCAAAAGTCTGTTGAACAAAGTCTCCAGATGATTCTTTTGTGCACTAAAGTTTGCAAAGCACTGATTTAGACCATCATTTGTCAAATTGCAGATTACAATCCATTAGTGGGTTGAGCAATCAATTCAGGCAGTGACTAGCATTTTACAAAAGTGAAACAAAACAGAATAGAAAAGGTAGTGAATCCCAAGTAGCAGGAGTAGTATAGCATTTGTTTCATTTCTACATATATGTGTATATTCACGGGTACTTTAAATTTTTGAAGAACTGGTAGGGTATGATAAAGAAGCTACAAATTCTAAGTGAAGTTAGAACTGCTGGGTTGACTATAAAACATACTGTCATTTTTATGTGGATTAGTACTTGGAGAGAGAGCTAAGATGGTTGAAAAGCAAGGAAAGAGGGCCAAGGAAAAAACAGAGAAGGCCAAAGTTTTATACTCCAGAATCTTTATGGGAAAAATAAAAAGTTCCATCCAGAGAGGAGATAGGAGGTGAGCCCACCACATGGGAGATGTTAAGGAGAATAAGAACATGGTGAAATTCACGAGTGACCTTTCAAATCATTTTAGTAGGACTGGTGAAGATGGATATAGTCAGTCACTCATGCATTCATTTACTGAACATTTACTGTACTGTCATAGGTGCCGGGTACTGTGTTGTGTTGTGTTGTGTGTGTGTGTGTGTGTGTTGGGGCGGGGGTACAGACATCAATTTATCTAGCCACTGCTTAGCAACAAGACGTTTAACAATAACATGATTAATGATGTGAAGGAGTTATATAGCAATGAGTTGGAATATTGACGTATGTTTGTAAGGAGGGGATTGGGGTGAAGGGAAACATCTTTATGAAAAAGTAAAAATGATGAATACATCTTAACATAAAAAGCTTTGAGTAGCTTTGTTTATATGTGTGTAAATATATATATTTATGTATATACAAACATATCATATGCAATATATATACACACACCCACACATATTTCTTTTCTTTTCTTTTTTTTTTTTTTAAAGATGAAGTCTCCATATGCTGCCCAAGATGGGCTCTAATTCCTGGCCATAAGTGGTATTCCCCTGCCTCAACCTCCCCAGTAGATGTTTAAAAATTTAATTTTTATACCCTTTGAAAAAGTGATGAAAATCACTACATAAATGACTTATTGCAAATATGAAAAGGAAAAAAAACAAGGATATTTATTTTTATAGTTTGCACAAAAATACCATTTGCTATTATTTTCACATACAGAACACCTCAAGCATTTTCAAAATGGGAGGGTAAGGAAAGGGCTGTCCTCTATTTAGACTACTCTGCATCAAGATATTATGTCATCACTAGGAATGCAATGAGAATGTTATTGAATTTCATTTGAGAGTAACTGTAGGATTTTAAAGCTGCAGGTGACCAGGGGATTTAAAACAAACATTCCAGGTAAGGATGCTAAAGTCCAAAAAGGTAAAATTACTTGCTCTCTATACATAATCTTTGTTTCATGCTGGGCCTAGGTACTAGTTCTCAAATTCGGTGCAGCTTCTTTTGTATCTCAATTTTCACCCTACCACTGAAGGTCAGGCTGGATTATCCATACTTCTTCCAATTTTGCGTTTCCTCCGGGTTAAGTCCTTCACAGATAAGTCAAATTCAGACCAGACTGGCTTTAGCCTTCTCAGTTCTTTCTTTTGTTTTCAATCTTCTCTTTTATCAGCAGCATTGTTGAGCTTCTGACTTTTAAATTTTTTAAAAAATTCAGAGTAACACCCCCCCCAAACCGAATGGACTCGGACACAGGACACAGCCATTCAACCAGCTAAAGGTGAAGGGGACACTATTCTCCAACGACCAAGGACCACGTGCGGGAGGAGGGACCGTCTTTTGATTGGCGCCCTGAGGGGATCCCTTCCTCCAATAGGGATGAGGCCCTCTGTAGAGGAGGGGGCGCGCCCTGGCCTGGAGGGCGGTGCCAATGACCCGTCCATCACGGAGTCCGAGGGTGGCAGCACCTACCACACCGCTGTACCTTGGCTAGGCGGAGCTGGGACGGGCAGGCCTTGGCACAGGAGGCGGGGCCAGGAAGGCGCGAGCCAATCCACTGGACGGTACGAGGGGCGGGGGCGGGGCCACCGCGCGCGACCCAAACACACGAGCTTGGCCGCAGCCCGAGGCCCCGCTGCTCCTCCGCCTTCCGGTGTGAGGCCCGGGAACCTCCTCCCCTCCCGGGCGCCCCCACCGCCGCGGCCCAGACGCCGTGCGGCCCCTCCTTCTCTGGGGGGGAACGAGGCGACGGTTGCCGGGAAGCGCGCGCCGCCCCTTCTCCCTCCTCCTTTCACGCGCCACCCGTTTTTCCTCTTTCTCGGTTAATAACAGCTGGGTAGCTGGGGGAGGAGGGAAGGTGGCCCCGGCGGAGTCTGGGCGGGCGCCTCCCACTCACCCGCGAGCCGCCGTGGGAGCTGGAGGATGGCGGCTGTAGCGGCGACCGCCCGGGAGGAGGCGGTGCCGAGGCCGGGGGCGCAGAGCGCGGTGGCAGAGAGCGGCAGCGGCCCGTCGTGGCGCACCAGAACCGAAACCAGCGGCCGCCGCACCGCCACCTGAGCCACCTCCTGCGCCGGATCCAGCGAGCGGCGCCCGCCGCCGCCGAACCAGGCCCTCCTCCCTCTCACCTCACCTCCTGCGCCCAGTCAGGTCGCCGGCCTCGCCCGCCGCCCCGAGGAGAAAAGCGCTCCGCGTGCCGACCGCCCCTCGGGGCGCCGGGCGGTGGCCCTGGACGTGCGGGGGCCCCAGTGGGCCGGCCGCGGCGCCTCGGCCCTGCCCTCTCGCTCCTCCGCTCGCTCCCGCCCTCCCGGCGCTCGGGGCCCTACGCGCGGGCCCGGCCCGGGGCAGGGCGGACATGGGCGCCAAGCAGAGCGGCCCGGCCGCCGCTAACGGCCGTACCCGTGCGTACTCAGGCTCGGATCTACCTTCCAGCAGCAGCGGAGGGGCCAATGGGACCGCGGGCAGCGGCGGCGGGGCTCGGGAGGCGGCCGCGGGCAGGTTTCCGGCTCAGGTGCCTAGTGCACATCAGCCCAGCGCTTCGGGCGGCGCAGCGGCGGCCTCGGCGGCCCCGGCAGCCCCGCGCAGCCGCTCCCTCGGCGGGGCCGTGGGGAGCGTGGCGTCGGGGGCCCGAGCCGCGCAGTCCTCCTTCAGCATCCCCAACAGCAGCAGCGGTCCGTACGGCTCGCAGGACTCGGTGCACAGCAGCCCCGAGGACGGCGGCGGCGGCGGCGGCGGCAGGGACCGGCCGGCGGGCGGGGGCCCCGGCGGACCGCGCCTGGTGATCGGCTCCCTCCCAGCTCACCTCTCGCCGCACATGTTTGGAGGTACGGCCCCTTCCCCGCACTCGGCGCCCGGCCCTCCCGTCTGCCTTGCGCAGCTGCACGTGGGTCACGGCCGCCGGTTATTTTTACCCTTCTCCTTTTCTCCTTCAGCCTTGGCGCTCGGGGCTCGACCCCGGCCCGTCCTGCCCCCCGAGTTGCACTTAACCCCTGCGGTGCCGGGGCCGCTCAGACGCCTGGTTTCTATTTTTAAACCTCGTGAGGACTCTTTCCTGGGTGGTAGCGGCTCCTCTGTAGGGAAAGTTCCCTTCCCACCCACCCCTAGTGAGGAGAATGGAGCAAGTATTGTTTTAAAACAAGCTGACGAAACAGCCCTCGTGGTTGTGGCTTTTAATACCAGGAAGTCAGGCGGAGACCCTCTGCTAAATGTAGTTGTGTCTGGGGACCGARTGGGGAGCAGCCAAAAGTCGAGGGCCTCAAATGGACGTTTGATTATTTGAAAAAGAAGGAAGTTATCATTTCCATTGGACCGACTTTTAAATAAAATCGGGGATCCTTAAGTCTCTAAATGGGCTCACCTAGCACATATACGTTAATTGGATGCATGTGTTGATTGAAAGTGTTTTTTTTTTTTTTTAACCTCAGTGAATTGCTACTTTGCATAATGGTTAATGTCAGCCCTGCCTAATTTAGAAATTTAAACAATCCTAAACAGTTTCTTTAGGAGAGCGTTTAAAAATTATCACAACTTTGCCTACAAGGGGGCAGTAATTGGCTAGGTTCTTTTGAAGAGCAGTATTGACTATGGTTAAGGAAAAGTCACTTGTGGGGAAAAAAAAATTAGTAGGAAACTGCTTATGGAAGAAAGGGTGCGCTTCATCTGAGGAAAATGAATTCTGCCTCTTTGTTTTATGCTGAATCAAGACCACCTTTCCTCCCTCCTTTATGAAAAGAAAGAAACACATAGAAGATAAGTATTCCCATATAATTGCGTAATTTTCCTGATACAACTGAGCACAGAAGAACAGGGGAAACACTTTTCCCCTCCATTTTTATAGCCTCTTTACTCATGTGTTTATAAATGTAATTACTTTCAGTGGAAAGTTGGTAAAATAGAATATTCAGTAAGAACATATATCTGTTCTGGTTTTCTATCAGCATTCACACTAGAATAAGTTAAAAATAAAGATGTCGTGTTTAGTTTTCCCACCTTTTTAATACCGCTTTCCACTTTAATAAGGAGTGGGTAACTTTTTAATTATCTATTTATGATAATATTTGCTGTGTAAATGAAAATATCAGTTGTTTTCCTACAGTTGGGCCATCTTTAAAATCCTGTTTTTGATAAAAGGTTTTGTCAAATTAATTATTTACTTAATATATTGATTACTGCATTTTAAAGGGCTTATACTTTGACAAAAAGTATATCTCCATGGGTTTATTTTGTTTAATACCTCCATTTAGACCAGAGCAAACAGTTGACACCCATGCTTTTAATTCATAATAAATTAGCAAGTGAAAAAGATCTAGTTGCTGGAAGTTGGAGGTAAAGCATTTTTTTTAAGTCTAAATTTTAGGTTTATGTGCTTATGGTTCTAGTGCATTTGGGTTTGGAAGACAGGATAGTGTGAGGAACTTTGGGCAGTCTTTCCCAAATAGATCTCTGTAGAGAATTGAACACTCCTGTCTATCCAATGTGTGCAATGAATATAACGTTTTCTCTCGGACTGTATTCAGAATGATTCTGGTTATGTATCATTCTTGGGACTTTGAAGGAAACCATCAATTTTCTGTGTTTTACTGATTCACATGAGAAACCTCAGTTGAGAAAGGCTGGAAAAGTATCAGAAGATACCTGTTCTTAAATGAAAAGATCAGAACAGAGGGCTGTGACTTTAAATTCTGGAGACAGATGGAATAGATTTATGTGAAAACCCATTTTTTAGTGGCATTGTCTTAGTGAGATTTTTGTCTGTCAGTGCATGGAATGAGGAAAACAATAGATGCATGTTTCTTATTTTGAGACTTAGGGAGCTGAATGATGAACCTTATAATTTAAAAAATTCAACTTGATTACACTTTACATTGGCTTAATTTTTATATGTATTATGATATTAGCATGTCCTTTAACTTTGGGAATATGTAATGAACTCCATCTGAAAATTGAGAAAAAGAATATTTCTAAATTAATGAACAGTTCTTAACTGTTTTATAAAACTTATTTTAGTTGTATTATTCTCATAAGAAAAATATGAGGCTAATAGTCTTTCTCTTGTGGGTTATTATGTAATTTATAGAAAATGAGAAACTGTCACTTTTTTTTTTTTAATCTTAGGAGTCTAGTAGCAAATCCATTTGTTAGTAGTTCTGTCATAATTGCCAAATTGAACAAGGAGGTTTTCTGTTTTTATGTTTTACTCTTTTTTAGACATATATTTTGGCTATATACTCTTATTTAATTATCTCTCTAGAGAACTGAAAAAGAGGTGCTTGATCCAGATATTTCAGTTTGTAGAAATTTCCTAGAAGTGAGTTCTTGGACATTAAACTATGATTAGAATCTGTATAGTTTTTAAAAAATGGAATAGTTTTTTCTTTTTGTTCGGACTGATGAGATTAATACTATTAAGATGAAGAGAAGCTATCTTGATTACTACTAATGTTGCCCATCCCTTTTGTTTTAAAACTGGCTTTTAAGGGCATAGTCTAATATTTAAAAACCTTAGTATGGTATCTCGGGATTTGTTCAACTTTATTTTGTGTCTACTTTTTTTCCCCACTAAGTCATGAATGTTTATAAAAACAATTAGCATGGGTGGTAAAATAGCCTTCATTAATGCAGTGAGGTTGGGAAGTTGAATGAGACTATAAAAATATAGCAGTTAGTGGAGGTTTTTTCCAGAGAAATTGTATGGAATTATGTCATGTATCTGAGACTGGAAGTGGGAATGTAAAGTGAATTAATTGAAGACAATCAATCAGGAGTACAGTGTTGCTTTCGACTGTCTAATTGTCTTGAGTTTGTAGTTTGCAATATTCTGTTTGGAATTCAGGTGCCTCCTGTTATTTATGAAGCCTGTTTCCTCATGTCAAAGTAGTATGGTTTTTCTCTTAAAACTACATATCTTAAGATCTGTATTTTTGAGAAGGTTTACTTCACCTGATTTTTAACATGGATATGAGGTTTTATGGTGTAGATTATCTCAAATTACTGAATTGTTCTCAGTCATCACTTCTTAGCAATATCAAGTGCCAAAATATTTGGATTTGGGATAGATGACATAGTTAATATGGTTTCTATTTCTGAAATTTATTTTAGTCAGTTGAAGCCATTTATAGGGAGTGGCAGAAGAGGAATGAATTGCCTCTTCCTAAGAAAAATGACACTTCTAACTGCTACCCCTGCCAGTCTTGAAAAGGAACTTTTGTGGTTAATGTTTCTCACTTATAATCTCATGTATTTTTAAATATGTTTCATGCTAAAGTGTGACCTCTGTCATAGAAATTTCTGCTTTGGGAATTTTTTGGAAGTACCTTGACCGCAAGGTAGAAGGTGAGCTGGAGGGAGGAGTGTTAATAGTTGCATGGACCCTATCTAATCTTAGAACTGCATGCTGTAAATACTAGATACTTAGATGCTTATTGGCTACTGTAGTTCTGGTCTCTAGCAAGTCCGCTGCTCTTCTCCAATTAATTGTTTTGCTTGGTAGCCAGTAAGTAGGTTTTTATTTCAATGTCCACTTTCATATTATTCATCTTGAAAGGTAAATTACCTTAATGTTCTTCCATACACTGGATATACTTAAAATTGGGTTTATTAAAGGGTTAAAAGAGAAGTGTAGGAACTACATTATGTTGCAAAGTATTTTCTAAGATTTATCTTCTTACATAAATATTCCTAAGCACATTGTTTAATTAAAGTGTTTAATTTTGCATCATGTGTTCCATCATTATATGTTTAGAAATTGGAAAAAACATAGCCCTTTATCTGAACAAAGGGTTCAGAAATGTCTTACATTCCAATTGTATTTGTGTTCTATGATGTTTATTAACAGCTTCTTACAGATTTAGCTGCTTAAAGCAACACACGTTTATTTCTCTTTCTATGGGTCAAGGATCTAGGCATAGCATAGCTGAGTCCTCTGCAAGACTCCATTTGAAATGTTGGCTAGGATTGCGTTATCTAGAGATTCAGATGGGGAAGAATCTCTTCAGATGGCCTCCAATTGTTTGGCAGAATTGTCTTGTAGTTGGGTTCTTGGAAGCTTGCTTCTTCAAAGCCAGCAAAGTAGAGAGAGTAGGAAGATGGGCTAGTACTATATCTATGTCATCAGTATACCAGGCCTTTATTGCAGGTTTCATTGGTTAAAAGGGAACTATGAGTCTGGTTCACACTCAAGGGGTGGGGGTTTTGCAAAGGTTTAAACACCAGAAAGTAGGAATCCAAAGTAGTTTCTTTAAAGTGTGTGCCACACTGATTAATAGACTTAGGTAGTACAGTAAACATGTAACTGCCTTAACTTTTTAAAAAGCTCATTTTTAAAAAACTTTTAAAAAAGTTATAATAATGCATATAGTAAGTACAATATTAGTAAACGTGAATGAGCCTCTTTTAGGGGCTGGGAATTTTAGGTTTCATGGGTATAAACATGAAAGGCTTCTTCCTGCTCTTGCTCAATGTTCCCTTGGGTTTTAGAGGACCTTTTTGATTATACAATGTTATAAGTTCTGTAATAGGACTTTTAACAAAACATTTAGTGAAGGATCTCTAGCCAGGGTAGTCAAAGAATGCTTCACAGAGAAAGGTAACATTTCAACTGTTTGAAGGATTTAAAAATTTTATGGAGGAGAGGGACTATGGACTAAAGAAAAAATCCACGAAAAGACTGGGACTTTGATAGGGTATACTGAAAAGTTGACCATATCTGGACTGTTGGGTGTGTGGAGGAATGATGAACACATGAATCTAGAGAATAGAAATTTGGGCTGATCATTGAAAAATTCTACAGTGCTCCATTTATTTTATTTAATCAAGTTTGAAAGCA